GACAATTGCTTCATATGACAATTTACTATCTAGTTCATGTCTCTCTATTGGACAGGTTTAACGTGCCAAAGGTACTTAAGAACATGTGTTGTCTGAATCCTGTCTGCTTCATATCTCCACAAGGGCAGAGAATTTCTCTCTCAAAGCCTAGCTATGAGGGGAAATTAGAAAATCCACTTTGGCTTTGATCCAAGAATACCAAAATATATTCTCCAATTCAGCTTTACCAGTAATTAAGCTAATATTTTAAGTCCTATTGTATACTTCTGTGAATTTTTCAACTGGTTGAGAACTTAAGAGTATAAAATTATTAGCCTCAAGCCACAACACTAACCAAAAATTATGAGAGTTGGGATTATGTTAAGTAAGAGATTAAACAAAATGAAAACAGAACAACAAAACCAAACACACATACACACCCACTCTCTTTCTCTGTCTCTCTGTCTCTCTGTCTCTCTGTCTCTCTGTCTCTCTCTCTCTCTCTCTCTCTTCTTTCCCTTTACAACAACAAGCAGACAGGTAGAAGTAACAGGAATTACGAGATTGGGTTTTCCTGCCACCTTATTGTGGAGGGTGGGCAGTTTGGTGACTTAGTCACTAAAAGAATATAACCCCCGCTACCTCTGCAGGCAAATGAAAAAAAAAAGGAAGAAAATCAGCCAGAAGTTACGATCTTCTTAACCTAATAAACAGCAACATAAAATCTTTAAGAAAAAAATTTTAAATAGTTAAACCTACCTGATCCCAAAAAACATTATGAAGCAGTTCACAGAAGCATACAACAAATAAAATACACGTAAACTTAAAATCCTCTACTTTTTTGTATTATGAAACAGTAATCTCTTGCCCTGTTTGAGATACCACAACTTTTTCATGCTTATGTTTTCACCTACATCCCACTCCAAGAAGTACTCAAAAATATCTAGCAGTCTCAAAAACGAAGGCTAAGTTCCTCAAATAATTTCTATAAGGATGCATACTATAATGATCCTTAATAAGTCACCTCCCACTCCATCAAAAGATTATGATCTATCCAGTCTGCTATTTCTGACAGTGCTACCAAAAGACATCTGTATCAGAAGCCCATGGTCAACTTCTGACATTCAAAACACACTCACTCACACATCCTACTTTTCTATTTGACTATTTCCTTCCTTTCAAACTCTATTATCTAAAACTACTTCCTTAAATTATACTTGATCTACCAAATTATTGTTAAAACATTTGTACATTAACAAACTTGCTAAAATATCTATTTCAGTACTTTTGTAACTGTATTAACCAAATCCTTTTTTCCAAAAATCAAATCTCAAACCTTCTTTTTTGCATAATGTACTTTGGTGCTTTATCTTCCTCTATATCTTACTTACTGAGTTCTGAAGATACCAGGAAATCTGCATGTCCTGAATAGGGGAAATATTTTTCCTCATTGCCTATATTTATTCTGCCCCATTTCCTCTAAGTCTTCCATTCATTCTTATTTAATCCATGGTATTTTTCCCAATTCTACTTCTATCTAGACCTATATACACATCCAATCACTTGGAGCCAATATGATATAGCTCTGGTGTCTAACCTTCATTTATTTAACTCCTGGTTCTTACAAAAGCTATTCCATAAATATTCCAAACATTATCAATTAACCACAATGACGTGTGACTTTAGCATCCACAATGGCGTGTGACGTTAGCATCAACTTCTAATGTGAAAGCATTCCCATTTCATCCTAAACATAAGTAAATCCAAAAATCTAATCTCAGCAAAAATCATAGGTTAGCTGCAAAGATCAAGTGAGTAATACGTGTATAAATTGTTGATTAAAGTATTACCAAAATTGTAAGGCATATCAATGTCTCTGCCTTCTTTAAGGAATATTGGTGCCTTTCAGCCTGTTACAGCTGAATTCTATGGAAAGATATTCAACACCACTCAGGAGAGTCCTCTAACATGTCCTTATAAATTGACTAAAATATGGGGATTAAGCAAATTAGGCTCTACTGCCCAAATTATGACAGTAGCTTACAATTTCTCTTTACTCATTTTAGAGACTGAGAATTACACCTGAATTAAGGCATAAAATGAAGGAGTGTTATCTACTCTGGGCAAAAATTAGAACTCTATTTATAAAACTGACATATGACTAAGAATGCTAACCTTAGTGTCAAAGTTAAGTCATCTCTAAAATGGAATGGCGGTTGATAGGATTTACATTTTTTAAATGTTTATTTTTGTCTTTTAATACTCATTTAATAAAAATGATAAATTTGTTTTCTATTTAAGTTAAAATAATTCAGCAGGCATCTAAAATAACTCTAAAATGGAGAAGTTGTGTAAACTATACACCATTTTCACCTTGACAAACAAAAAAGTGTTTTACAGGTAATATATCTCACATGTATCTAGCAATATAAAAATTACACACTCCAATTGGTTGTCTTCACAATGATGTGTCCACTAAACTATAAATACATTATTTGTATAATTTTTAAATGTATGTAAATATCTAATACACATATAGTTTGCAATAAAAATACACATATTGCTAAACACTGTCCACAATGGCTAACAGGAAGAAAAATATTAACAAAAAGAAAGAACAAAAATACTTCCCTGAAACACAAAAACCTTGCAAGAAGAAAATACAAACAGGAATGTGCCCAGTCTTATCTTCAGTTAGTGGTATGACTCATTCAACACTTGTTTATGGTGTGTCTCTTTGTCACAAGCAACACAGTTCTTAGTTCCTTCCCCTCTTCAAACTCCAGCTACTACTAAATGCAATTAATATCAAAGTGACCACATTTCTAATTTTAAGGGAACCATCTTCTTCCTCTTCCCATGTTCCTGTGAGTCCTTAAAATTAGTACATCAGCTTTCTAGAAAATGTTATAGGCTCATCCCCAGGATGGGACAATTGCTTCATATGACAATTTACTATCTAGTTCATGTCTCTCTATTGGACAGGTTTAACGTGCCAAAGGTACTTAAGAACATGTGTTGTCTGAATCCTGTCTGCTTCATATCTCCACAAGGGCAGAGAATTTCTCTCTCAAAGCCTAGCTATGAGGGGAAATTAGAAAATCCACTTTGGCTTTGATCCAAGAATACCAAAATATATTCTCCAATTCAGCTTTACCAGTAATTAAGCTAATATTTTAAGTCCTATTGTATACTTCTGTGAATTTTTCAACTGGTTGAGAACTTAAGAGTATAAAATTATTAGCCTCAAGCCACAATACTAACCAAAAATTATGAGAGTTGGGATTATGTTAAGTAAGAGATTAAACAAAATGAAAACAGAACAACAAAACCAAACACACATACACACCCACTCTCTTTCTCTGTCTCTCTCTCTGTCTCTCTGTCTCTCTGTCTCTCTCTCTCTCTCTCTCTCTCTTCTTTCCCTTTACAACAACAAGCAGACAGGTAGAAGTATCAGGAATTACGAGATTGGGTTTTCCTGCCACCTTATTGTGGAGGGTGGGCAGTTTGGTGACTTAGTCACTAAAAGAATATAACCCCCGCTACCTCTGCAGGCAAATGAAAAAAAAAAGGAAGAAAATCAGCCAGAAGTTACGATCTTCTTAACCTAATAAACAGCAACATAAAATCTTTAAGAAAAAAATTTTAAATAGTTAAACCTACCTGATCCCAAAAAACATTATGAAGCAGTTCACAGAAGCATACAACAAATAAAATACACGTAAACTTAAAATCCTCTACTTTTTTGTATTATGAAACAGTAATCTCTTGCCCTGTTTGAGATACCACAACTTTTTCATGCTTATGTTTTCACCTACATCCCACTCCAAGAAGTACTCAAAAATATCTAGCAGTCTCAAAAACGAAGGCTAAGTTCCTCAAATAATTTCTATAAGGATGCATACTATAATGATCCTTAATAAGTCACCTCCCACTCCATCAAAAGATTATGATCTATCCAGTCTGCTATTTCTGACAGTGCTACCAAAAGACATCTGTATCAGAAGCCCATGGTCAACTTCTGACATTCAAAACACACTCACTCACACATCCTACTTTTCTATTTGACTATTTCCTTCCTTTCAAACTCTATTATCTAAAACTACTTCCTTAAATTATACTTGATCTACCAAATTATTGTTAAAACATTTGTACATTAACAAACTTGCTAAAATATCTATTTCAGTACTTTGGTAACTGTATTAACCAAATCCTTTTTTCCAAAAATCAAATCTCAAACCTTCTTTTTGCATAATGTACTTTGGTGCTTTATCTTCCTCTATATCTTACTTACTGAGTTCTGAAGATACCAGGAAATCTGCATGTCCTGAATAGGGGAAATATTTTTCCTCATTGCCTATATTTATTCTGCCCCATTTCCTCTAAGTCTTCCATTCATTCTTATTTAATCCATGGTATTTTTCCCAATTCTACTTCTATCTAGACCTATATACACATCCAATCACTTGGAGCCAATATGATATAGCTCTGGTGTCTAACCTTCATTTATTTAACTCCTGGTTCTTACAAAAGCGATTCCATAAATATTCCAAACATTATCAATTAACCACAATGACGTGTGACTTTAGCATCCACAATGGCGTGTGACGTTAGCATCAACTTCTAATGTGAAAGCATTCCCATTTCATCCTAAACATAAGTAAATCCAAAAATCAATGTCAGAAGAAAGAACATTACATATAGAATGTCTGGCATTTGGTTCATGTTAAAGTATTCATTAGTTTATCTAACGTTAAGTTAAAATAATGAGCTTCAGTTTTAGGTTGGTAAGAAAAACGCTACTATCTATTTCAGAATAGCAATCCAATACATACCTTTGTAGAAATGAGTTTCTTCTGGATTTATCCAAGTAACAGAGAATGAATCCAAATTACATTATTAAAAAAAAAAAACTAAATGTCCTACAGACATTGCTGACTCAGTATGCCAAAAGGTATTAGATTTAATTAACTTGACCATTTGCTGAAATTTAAATCTTAGTAAGAGGCTGTAGTTACCTCTTTTTGTAGATGAAGTTTGAAGCAACTGTTTGGCTTTGAGGGAAGTACGAGGCAAATTTTTCAGCCTTTGCGAAGCTGTTGAAAAATAAGGAACTGTAATATTTGCCTGGAAGGACAAGATAAATGCTACAGGTTCTGTATATTTTAATACAAACTTGAAAATTTATCAAGGAACAGAAACCACAAGGTGAAAATATGTTAGAATCCCAGAAGCAGAGGAATTTTAAAGTGATGCTTGGTGCATTAAGTTGGAAAGGAAAGGGGATGGAAATCTTAGTGCAAAGTGCATATTTCCAGAAATAGTTTCTTATAGATGAGAAAATCTACAATATGTAAACCGACCAAAATATCAAAGAGAAAACAAGCCACCAGCAAACATGCTACAGGACGCAAAGAATAGAAAGCTTATAATTAAGTAAAAGTGATGAACACAAGCACACAGTATAGAATGAAATAAATGTAGTATTTGTTCAATGCAAAGCAGACTTTGGCAAAGCAGTTATTGTTAGATGAATTGCCCTAACATGAAACAGTAAATCCCATACTCAAAAAGGAGAAGAAAACTCAGAACCAGGCAGGTCCTCAAGAGAGCACAATCCCATGGCCTCTAGTATGTTCATCATCACCTTGCTGTAGAACACAACTAAATTGTACTTTAGACTTTGGTAGCAATGTATCTGGGCTGTGCATATATGCCTATGGGGTAGATAGAGAGGGGTGAGTGTGTATATTGGTGGGGTTGAGGGATTTGGAGGAGCCAGAGCATCTGCTTTCTAAAGTGATTAAGGGGGAGTCTGAAACTTTCTTCAAAACTCTTAATCTATTAATTGCAATGAAATGCACAAAACTGGCATGTTAGCAGCAGCCCAGAGCCACCCATAGTTATTTAAAGCTCACCACAGTGAACTGATGAATCTCACACCTACCAGTGCAGTCACCTATTTAAGTGGCTATAAAATGTCACTGATTTGAAAGTCAAATTTCATATACCTCTAGGATTTATATGCCAAAACAAAACAAAATACCACCTTACAATCATAAATCCGGCCAGAGTTTAAACAATCACTGGGTTGATAAAGATATACTTGATAACGATAGAAGAGAATTAAGAAGAATTTCTCTTTCACTCTATTGCTTAACCTTATCAATGCTGAAAAAATACTGTTTTCTCACTGTCTGATAACAAACATCTTTAAAAAGTAACAAGTGTACCTGATTTTTATAGTACTCAACACATTACTATAGCTAAATAATATTTTATGCCAGTTTAACTTAAATATTGCCATGAAGACTAGCAAAAATTCTCCAAACCTTAAAAAATAAACCCATCAATTTTATAATGCATTCTCTCATATTCATTTATATATTTATTCATACATGTTTTCAACCATTCGTATTTTCATTAATTCACTCATTCATTTGTTGCTGCTTTCTCTAAATCTTTTCAATAGTTAATAATCGACTTTATTCCAGGTACTGTTTTAAGTACAATGGGATTATTAGCCAACTAGACAAAGTTCCTGTTTTCATGGACCTAACATTCTCGGAAAGGGGAAACAGACAATAAACAAAGAGTAAAATATATGGCCTGCCAGATGGTGATAGTTGCTAAGGAGAAAATTAAGTAGGAAAGGGGGACAGAAAGTAGGAGATTTAAGTTGCAAATATAAATAGGATGATTAGGAAAGATTTACCTGAGATGACATTTGCATAAAGATTCAAAGGAAGAGAGGAAGTGAACATATAGATATCTGGGGAAAGTATTCCAGACAGAAAGAAGAGCAAAGGTAAAGGACCTGAGGTAGGAGTGTGCCTGTATGTTTGAAAAACGAAGTAGGCCACTGTGATTGGAATGGATTAAATGAGGGCAGAAGGTACTGACTCTATTTACGCTGGCAACCCACACTATCTACTAACCATTACAATTTTTTAATAAAGACTAATATCACATATTGCTTACAATCAATGTTTTGGAAAGGTCCTATTTAAGCTAACAGCTATGGTAACTCTAATGGACCTTATTCATCCCTCAAGTTTAATGTCACAACAACAGCATTTATAAACAACTGAAAACTGTCCAATCATCTGAAGAATCAGATTATAAACAGAATCAGGCAATATACTCTAAATTTGCCTGATACAATAAATTTGGCAGAATGAAATAATGATTTTTATAAGGCACCACACAGTCACAAATGTTACTCAACTAAAACAAATTTATCTGATTATCAAGCTTAATTTGATCCGTTTTCTAGACAAAATCACCTTTTAAGTGGCAAAACATAGCAGATAAACTGAAAGTCTCCAGATCTTTCTAAAATAAGAGTTCCATGCATTAGCTGTTTTAAAATATTTATGGTTTCCCTGGTTTGTTTTAATATTTATGTAATTCCAAATTAAAAAGACCCACTGTGAGAAGCAAAGATGGCACAGTGAAACAATTACTCTTACTACATTATTTAATGGTTTCCTCAACAAACCAATTCCAAAAACCTCTGTATTTCTGTTAAACATATATCACCATTTTCCAAATCATCCAAGCTCGGTTTTCTTACTTAAAATTCCATTGATCTGTCCCTTCCTTTTCATCCCCACTATCTCCTAAATACCTGATTCAGAGCTTCATCACTCTATTTTTGGACTAGAACAGTGTCCTTTTGGGTCTCCCTACATCTAATCCTTCCAGTTTATTCATGCACATGAAGCAGGGTGGTGAAAGTGCTGCCTCCAGCCCCCAGATGCAGGTAATGAGTGGGTGCCGGGAATTCAGAAACAAAAATAAAACAAGCTTGGTTTGTTTTTTTATTGTCATGTCCCAGCAATAATAATCAATGTTATTAATAAATGCTCCTCCCTAAAGAAAATAATTTGTTGGCCTAAGTTATAAACAACTGCTGCAGGTACTGTTCTGTTAATAACATATATGTAAGATTAAATTAGCACATTTTAATACTTATCCTTTAATAAACATTGCATGTCATGTGAAGATAATTAGGAGAACTCCCAGTTAGAGTCTCCCCTGACACACGTGGATTCAGCTACATGTTTCTTTCAAGAGTAAGTTCATAGCCATTTAAAATTAAGCTCACTTCAGCAGAATATGTGCTCCCAACCCATATGGTACAATGATACATTCCTGTATTTGGACAGATTAGAAATAATGATGGAATGATGATTATCAAATCAATGAAAGAATATGAGTTACTTCAATTCTGTCATTATATGTCACTTTGAGTATGTATTTAACATTTTTCAGCTATGAAGACACTTAAGAATCATTAGACTTAATCCCCAAAGGAAGGATGTAGACATTATGGAAATTTCTAGAATTCCCTATAAAATGGGATTTTATGACTCTGCCACATTTATCTTATGTTGAGATTTTCCTTATTTATACAGCAGTTGCTTTGTGAAAAACAAAAACCTTTCAGAATTAAAAATTGAAGACTGTTCTTCAGTTGATCTAAATGAAGTTGATAAATTTGGCTACAGTGTGTACTGAACCTCAATATGCAAAGATCAATTCTGAAGAAACTGACAAATTTGCAGCAGCTGAAGGTATAATATTCAGTACTATAACAGTCTAATAAGTAAGTTTTTTCCTTTAAAAAAACTAATAAATCTAAAAGTATGAACCCATTATCTTTTCTTTTCACTGTAATGTTGATTTTATTATTTATCTTTTTCACAGTTATAAAACAAAATTCTATAAAAAAATTGTTTTCACTATCTGCATTTTTTCCTGGCCATTATTATAACTCATTACATTTCATGATTATTGAACATAATTTGTTACATGGGGGTATATAAAAAATAATCTTATCCAAGTGCCAAGTACTAAATAAGCAGAAGCCACTATAAATAAAAATTACTGTTATGTAAAATGTCCCTTTGTCCCCAACCCCTCCCCATGACATTGTTTCAAACCTTTTACTGCTTATAAATTCTCATTCAGTCATCCTTTAATGGTCTCTCCTCTGCATCCAAATTTCTCAGTGTAACCCAGTCACATTTCTACTTGATTAGAAGTATAGAAAAAAATTGATTCAGAGCTTATCACCCCCTGCACCACTGCCTTTGTTCAGATCTTCATTTCTTTCCTCGATTATGCATTAGCCTAAGTGGTTTCTAGACTCTCCTCAACTCTAATTCACTCTCCACATTGATAACAGATTGAATTTTCTAGGAAATAACTTTGATTAAAAGCCTACCATGGCTCCCTACACTTATAGGATGAAATCCAAACTTCTTAATATGATACTAAAAACTCCGACAATCTGTCCCATACCTACATTTCTCATTCTTTGTCACTGAACACACTATTCTGTACCATACCCTTTAGTCATATAAAACCACTATAATCAGTGTCATCTTTAAGACTTCATTAACAATCCCACTGCTAGGAAAATCTATCCTCCCTTGTGTGGCAACACATAAGCTCCTCCTGAGCTATCTGAGATAGCTTTCTGAGATGGCTTTCAGTATCTTCCCAGAAAACCTCTTCACACTGTTTAGTTTAATGCCTCTCTTGTTCTTTCAGAAGTTCCTGCCTATCATTCCCTGCTACTGAAGGGCCCAAGCTGTTTCATTCATATTTATATTCCCAGAGGGGGGAACAGAACCAATAAGCAAATACGTTAAGTAATTAAGGAGCACATAAGTGACAGACTACAGGGTAAAATCCAGAGATCTAAACTAAACAATCAAGAGGCTCCACAGTTGAAGTCTAATACAGTGGTTCTCAAACTTGAATAGGCCCAAGAATCAGCTGAGACACGCCTAAAAAACAGAGATTCTGGGTTTCAGTCCCAGACGTATTCAAACAGAATTTATAGAAGAGCCAGAAAACTGGATTTATAAAATATCTTTGTGAATAATTGACCCAATATCATACTACTTATTCTTAATCAGAAGTTTTACAAATATTTCATTCATTCTTACATTAGCACATTACACATATTTATTGTAACTTTTTTATTTCAATTTATGTTTCATAATTATGTAAAATTCAAGTGTAATATTTTAGTGTTTTGTTTCTAAATAAAGTCTGGATGAGAATTCCTTCCCCAGGGGCCTCAGTGCAATCTTGCTGCATACATAAGCTGACCACTGCTCTGGAAACTCTCTTCAGTGAGAGGTCCAGAGTAGAATATTGATCCTATATATACTTTTTCTCTGGGGGTATACTCGATATCCTATACAAAAATATTCTTCCATTTGGCTAAATGTAAACAAATGAATAAACACTACACTAAATTATTTTAATCCTTTGTGGTAATTCACAAAGTATTTTATAGTTCAAATCCCAAATCATGCTCCAACAGAGTCATCCAAAATACTTTACAAGATACATACTCATTCAGTTGGGTGAGAAGGACATAATCAAAACAATGACTGGGAGAAAACCAGGAGGCTCAAGGAGAAGTTGGGAGGAGGGAGTAATCCGGCTTGGTTTTGCCACTTTTCTAGTTATATAACATCAAACATATAATTTATATGGATCTCTGCTCCCTCTTTATAAAAAGAAATGGGTTGCTGTGGGGTTCAAATGAGGTAATACATGTGAAGTAAATATTTTAAAATATTAACCAAAGTTTGAGCATAATTATTATTACTTTTTTAAACCAGGAGATTTTTGGGGGTTTTCTCCCTTTTCTTTCCTTATTTCTGAACTAGTAATTTCAGTATTTTTCTGAAAATTAAACTTTCTATTAAACCTGTGCTCTAGCAGCCTTAGAAAGCAAGACACTCATCTTGAAAAGCTCTGTTACTGACATTCTTTCTGTTAACTAGAGAAGCTGATAAAATTATATGTATCCATGATCTCTGCAATGCTCTGGTTTTCTTAAACTTTTTAAGTTACTTACATTTTCCAAATACAGAAGTCAAAAATTGGTAATAGCTATAAAAAGGAAATTACACTAGAGCTCTTAAAATACTCATATTTGAATGCCAGCATCCACAATAATGCAGCCACAGCAAATAAGCATATAAAAACAGTGATTGGCATAGTAACAAGGCAAAAGTAGTGGTCCCTTAGGTGGAAATAACAGCAACTTTGCAAAGTTAGGTTCATGCAGACCAGCAAGTAAGAACCAAAAGCTTTACCACTAAAGAGCTGGAAAAACAAATACTTCAAAGAAAACAAAATGCAACATCTATTATACTAACTGGTTTATACAAAAAATAAAAAATACTAATTCACATATAAAATGTATAAAACTTATGATAGTATTTGCATATACTTACATATCAAAATAAAAAAGGCTACTATAAAAACAATATACATATACACACACACTAATTAGAAGAACACTTAACATATCTACATTCTTATGTATCAAAGATAAATGTAAAATTTTAAGAAATATAGATAACAGTTTGCTTCATGATGTATTAACTTCAAACAAGAAGCTTTAAATATTTTTATAAAATAAACTTTATTAAGTTTTAAACTTGCTAATATTGTTACTACTTTCCAAATACATTTTTGTGAGTAATGACTTTACACTAAAATACGTTTGTGACATTTTAATCCTCACTACAGCTACAAATATAATAAGAATACATACTTTTTTAAAAGAGTATGGTACCTTACTTTCTCTTCTGCCTGTACATTATTCAAATATTGAAATACACTATTATGAAACTGCATACATATACTCCACATAGAAGTAATTAGTGATTAGAATCTTATTATGTTTCCCTATAAATTTTTCTTAATTAACAACTTCTGGGAAAAAAGAAAAAATTATTCACCTGTGGGAAATTCTAGGGAATCAGTAGGTGATTATATCATGGTGATTTTACCACTGGGGAAAGTAATTAAGAGTTTAAGATATGGTCAATATAGTTTTCTACTATTAACATTTTTATCATAGGTCCTTAAGCTTTTCTTTTTTCTTCTGTTTTTGTGAAAAATTATTTTTCATTTCCATGCAGCTTTGAGATACTAGAACAGTTCAAATGAAGAGCATGTTTTAGGGCATGAGAAAATAACCCTGAGTAAAAGAGTTGGTACTGACAGTAAAGAGGGTGGAGATATATGTAATTAGTAAAATAGGGAAATAATTAGTGTTAATAATTGACCTACTTCATAGAATTGTTCTGAGGATTAAACAGGATTATGTATGTACAGAACAGTATGTTGTGAGTTTCTGTAATGTAAATAATATCAAAAGCAACTTATAAATGAGAAAAGTTTACCAATACTATTACAAAAGTTATTTTCATTCAAATACATCTTTTCCTGGACTGTTAATTTCTGAGTCACCAAGTAACAACGGCTTAACACAGTATCAGCTAACACAAAGGATCATTCAAAGCAGAGTGAAAGGGAATTAAAATAGAATTGAAAGCTTTCAAAGTTGTATTACTGAATAAGTAAGTTATAAACGAATAGTCAATAACGTCATGTTTCTATCACTTCTTCCTTACAGCTCTGAGAAAATGAAGGACCACATCACAGTGACCACATCAACCATAGCCGGTAACAGGTTACAAAGGAACTGAGTGCATCAGACTACAGGACTGAGGTGAGCTGTGGGCATATTGAACATTTCTAAGATTATAAAAATGACTTTGATAGTTTGTTTAAAATTGGTTTGACTACATGCTCACATTTATCATAGTTAATAAGTAATAATTTTTGTAAAGAGTTCAATTCTTTTGTAATCACCTTGCCCAGTAAAGTACACAGTGCCCATCTACTCCCACATAACTTCTCAGCACAATTTGGCCACTTTGCCTTCCAAGTTCTTTCTGCATGATTCTCTCAGATTTTTGTTTATGTTGCATATGTCTCCTTAACTCAACAGTCTCAACCCTTCTTTCCATCAAATTATCTTCAATTTTTAAAAAATATGAAGTCCTACATTTGAAGTATTTGTTTTATTCATTCAGAATTTAACATGTCTTTAATTGTGATAGCGAGTTTACAGGATCATTATTGATTTTATAGGATCTCTAGTAAGAAAGCTGCTTGGGTTTTAAGTGGTCTGTTTCAGGACTATTTATCCCCCAAATCCTGTCATTTTTAATGTGTAATATTGCAGAATGTGAAGTTTTTATATATATTTATAATGAATAACATTTTAAAAAATATACAAATATATAATTACATGTATTTATATATATAAATTATATTTATATATTAAATAGCTAGACTTTACTTATTTTAAAATTCTGGAGAGACCAATTTCATACAGATGTAATTAGTAATACAACTGGGTATCTAATAGGGACAAATTAAAAATTTTAATATATCTTAATTATCTTATAGCAATTAATCTCTACACTTTACTATAATAGTTTAACATTGCTATTCAGCACAAAATTAATATCTATAATTTTCATTTTCCTTTAAATAACTAATACATGAAAGACACTTACTGGCTGAAGCCTGAGGTTGCATGCGAGGTATTCCTCCATTTGGCACTTGAAAATTTGAGTCACTTCTGCTGCTTTTCACTGAGTCAACTTGTGTATTAGATGTTCGGGATAGGTTTGGAAGACTGCGTCTTAATTTTTCTATAACAATAGAATTTCAATTTTTAAAAAAATGATACCATTCTTTCAGATGGAGAAAGAATTAAACTATTAATTGAGATTCAAAAATCAAATTCTTTATTTAAACATTCTGCATATTTTAGAAAAACAGGAATTACATGTCTTATAAAAATAAACTCAATCCAAATTCTATAAATGCATAGCAGAGGACCTTTAAAAAGAACCATACATTATTTAAATCAAAATCTGTATCATCAGCTATAGATCACTTCATGAGTAGAACAAAGAAAATCAATAAAAATTAAAACCAATAAAAATCTCTTTTATTTTTTATTGATTCACTATTAATAAACCAGTAAACTGACTAAATTCTTGATCCACTTCTCTGAAATACAGAAACTTGATAAAAATTGAATTTTCATAATGAAATATAAAGGATCATCTTTTCCCAGAAACATTCTAATTACCTTCATTTTTAACATTGCTTGTCTGTAAATCCGAGGGATGGCCCTGAAGTGAAAGGCGAGGTTGCTGTAAGCGGCTAATCATGGGCTGTGGGGACACTCTACTATATTCTATTCCCCGAGCAGGAGATCGTGAACGAGGTGAATTTCTTGGTGACTGCTTAGGTGATGGTCGAGGTGAATTGCGTGGTGATGGTGAAAACCTGTTAACAGCAGGGTATACTGCATGATGCATATTGTCATCTTCATCATCTAAACTTTGTGCATCAAGTTCCTGATCACTAAAAGTACCCCGTCTTGTAGAATTGCAAGATGAACCAGAACTGCGCCGAGATGTAGTGGCTGCATATTCTTGCCGGAGACCTGACAATAATGAATGTTATTTTATTTCTTTAGTTTATTTTATTCCTTTAGTTTAATCTTTATACATTTAAATATTTTTAAGGTTCAAAAGCAAGAGATTATCATTGAAAAATTGAAATGCGGTAAAACGTGTAAAGGAAAACTCTCTTTTCACCTGAATCATCTTAGACATTTTCCCATATGATGCAACATAAGCCACACTGACAGGTTATTTTTTAGTTAAATGAAATCCTATGAACCTTCGCTCAATTTCAACATTTCTTCTTGAATCTGAAATCTATATTACAAGTAGACCCATAAATTTAATAATATTTCTATTCCCAAAGACAGTAATGCAAATTTGAGTGAGATTAACATTAAAGGAGTATTGAGCGAAAACAATTACTGTCCAACCAGTGGAAAGAATACATCAGTGAGTAAATAAACTCCCCATATACTGAATCACTGGATTAATCTTATTCATGAAGATGATGAGGGAAACTTTTATCCCACACTTAGGAATTTAATACTTGGGGCATAAATGAAATTTCAATTGCTTCATAGCCCAAGAGACTTGAATAAAACAAGTTTAAATTCTAAGCCATCAAGCAAGAATTTTCAAAGGAGTCCCCTATGTATCTCGATACATCCAGAAACATCTAAGCAATCTTAGAAGTAATTCAAATAGTACAAAAACTTCTAAAATAAAAACAAATGTTGACACATATTCAAAAAGGAAAAAAACGGCAATTCAAAAGAAGCACAGGATTTAGATAACATATTGAGCAAGGCCTGCTAACTACTCGCAGTATAGTGTAAAACATCTGTTATAGAGTAGAATACAAACTTTTAAGTTATATATTCACACAGAGTGCTATCAATATGGTTCCCCAAAGTAGTGGATTGAGAGTCACACTAGAGTACCTGTAAAACTACAGATTCCTGGAGCCCATCTAGACCTTCAGTCAAGTTTGAGAACTGCTATAATAGCCGACAAGATACTCAGTATCTTGTTATAGCAAATGTGGCACGAAAGTGAGAGCAGACCAGTGAAAGAGCACTGTTTTAGAAAAGAAAAACCCAGATCCTGATGCAGTCTCCCCACTAACAAGGGGATCTTAAGGAAGTCACAATCACTGTGGGATAGTGTGTTTCTCATCTTAAAAATGAGGGGGCTGCATGGTATTCCATGATTTTTCTTAATGGTAAAGTCTCCAGATAAGCATTTATATTTAAAAACAAAACAAAACAAAAAAACAAATGAGGGGGCTTAACCAGGCAACAAGTCAAATATGTAATTCTACATTTCTGTTACCAAAAAACTACACAATGATGTAAAATGGAAAATCATTCTTGAAAAGAAAAAAAAAGCTGATGTTTTCAAGGAGGTATCACACACTGTTAGCATTTTTTTTTTTAACTCACCAGGAAAAGGAGTATTTGTATAAGTGGGTAACTTAGAAAGGATTACTAAAGTGAGGCTAAAATTTCTATCATTTGCTACCAACATACAATATGAAAGCTCTATCAAATAGCTGGTTGAATTCTGAACAAAATACTGGGGTAATACTGGGGTCTAAAGTTAGGGCTCAAAGAAGAAATGACTGAGTTTACTTTTAGTTAGGCGTCCTTCTGTCACAGCCATGACGGTAACTAGCCCCTCACTAGCTGACAATACCACAGTCTCAGTGAGGAATTACACAAAATTACACAAAAGCACCACCTTATTAGTTTCTAGGGCTAAAGATAAATAAAGCAAGCACCAAGTCTATCTTTCTAAGGGAAGCTGTGTGAAAAATGGGAAATGAATCAGCAGAGTAAGAAACATTCTGCAGTTTCTTAATAAATGTGCTAGCTTGATAAACTTACTTTGTATTTATATAAAAGAATGGGCCTGAAACAAAGTTTTTTTATCTAAATTACAGCAATGCTCCCTTACCCTCAGCCAACTGACAAGGCTCTGAAATATGTGCTTCAAAGATTTTCATTTAAAGGTTTAAAGGGATCACCTTAGAGACTGCTTATTTCACAATTAAGCCAGTAGCATCTTATAATAAAATGTATAAGCAATAATACTATCACTATTATTTACATTCAGATCAAAGTCAGACATCAAGAATCCTTGAAATATGAAAAAGTTTGTGCATATGTACATTTTAGGGATGACTGGGGACATAATTTTTATTGGTTTCTCAAAGGTGTCTGTGACCTGAAAAGTGGCAAGGACCACAGTGCAAAGCATCACATGCTTCATTTAATGTCAAAATTCCAATTTTTCATGAAGGTCTCTTTCATAGTTTATACCTTACATTCTTAGAGTGGTGATATTTGCCCCCAAGGGGGAAAAATTAATTCCTGAAGTGTGAAAAATTTTAGATATCAATAATAGTTTGTGTTCTTCATAATATATAAAGAGATATGAAGTGTATCTATGGGATTAGAATTTCAAGAGGGGATGGTGGGCAAAAGGTAAAAATGTCTAAAAAGGCCCGTTAGGGGTCGATAATGAAAAAACGTTGAGGAAATCTGGTCTACACTAGGGAAACACAGAGTAATACAGTCATAACTACACTAGTGAGTTCCAGTGCAGAGTAACATATAGGGTTCCAGTCATACAGAAGCTGAGCATAACCTGCCTTTCTTTGCTCCTCACACAGCAAACTGCTCTATATAAAATGATCTCTGAAAACAAGTTGATGAATAAAGAAGCCCATATGTTGAAAAAGCCTCTGAGATTTCAACATTTCTACTCTTACTACATTACTATTTCTTTAAGACATATTTAATACCCACAACAAAATTGCATAGTAGTAATGAGACACCTAACTTTAACAATTAATATACTTACTTTCTTCCTGCATCCGAGCTAGAATCTGCACATCTGTTACATCATTTAGCTTATAATTGGATCCAATAGAATCTTCATCTAATTCTGAAGCACTTAACTCACTGTCTATAGAGGACTGAGGACTGAGTGGAGGATTTCTGTCTGATGAACTTTTCAAATTACCTTAAAAAAAGAAAAAGATTCAAACTTTGATGAAAGAAAAACTGAACATCTATTGCAATTAACTCAATATTATATCTTTTGATTCAGTCCATTATTATCTTGCCTTTTCTGTCTGTAAAATTCCCAAATACTGAAATTAAAAATTGACCTTGCTAAGAATAAAGAGGGTTATAGAGACTCCTTCATATACTGTGGCATAAATACAAAACATATTTCCCTTAACTATAACTCATCTACCCTCTCATGAAACAATTAAGCTGTTAACACAGTACTGGCAAGTAGTGTTCAATAATACATGTTAGAGGATTTCAACTTTTACAAGATAGTCAATAAAACTGCTGTATAAATAGATGAATTTATGATGTGTTTTCTCCTTTCCAAATTCACAGTTATTAGCAAACACCATCATCTTTTCCCTGAATAAAAAAAATCCTTTCCTTAAACAAGAAAACTGTAATTTGAGGAAAATTAGGATTCCTTGGAGATTTACGAATAAAACAAAAAAAGGACACTAGGCTCATTTCTCCTACATTACGCCATGTTTACAAAATTCCTTTGTGAACTAGTAATGGGGATCCAAGAAGTTCTCGTAAGTTTTGCACAAAGATAGGATGAAAAAAATTACTGGATAAAAAAAGTATTTTATCACTCTAAACCAAAAGCAGGGAAGGAAGACAGGTCAGAGGAATGAATGATATACATATCCAAAAGAGTCTAACTAGTTCCTAAAGAAATGCTTTCGTCAGATCATCAAGTTCAAGTAAAGAATAATGAATTTCCAACTCTGACAGTAATACTTCTAATACAGATTTATTTGAAACACTTGTTTCCCAGAATTCTTCACCGTAAGAGTCAGCTCCAACATGAAAGACACATAAGAGCAAGAATATAGAATAGCTGTTGTTTACATTATCATAGGAAGAACATAGTGCAAATGACAGGAAAAGTATTACAAGGTCAGGCTCAAATAGTGCCTGAATAAAACTGTTAATGTTAAACAAATATAGCAGATTAAACTTCTTAGTATGACAGTGATGGATGAAATAGTAGCAAGTACCAACTTATGAACAAAGCAAAAAGCAGTCAATAAAGTCATTAGACTAGGGAGTTCATGGTGAAAAAATTGAAGTGGCTAAAAATACTTTAATTTTTTAGAAAGCTATAATAATTAGCCATAACGTTAACAGCAATGAGAGTAACTGAATAAGTGGTTTCAAAGGACAGTAAGCTACAGAGTAACAGTCTCAATCACAGAACCATAGCAGAATATTATTTCCCTAATTTACAGCAATCTATCTCTCCAATATAATTTAAGAATCAAAAACTCTTTCAACACATTCACATATAGGCTTATATTATTATTCAAGTACAATATCAAAGCTTATTACATAAGGTTAACTTATTTAATGAAATAAGTTAAAATAGAGTTTTTATTTATAGCTTTCACAACCTGAGCAAGCTATTCAATAAGCATCTACTGGTTAAAAAATCAAGCTTGTGACCCTATTTAATCAAGCCAGATTAAAAAAACTTGTTGAGTACATGATAAAGAAAACTTTACATATCTAACCTGGCTCATCCGTATTCCTTTTGCATATAGTACCTAGTGCCAAGGAGCTCCTCAATGATATTTTCTCTAACCAGTTAAAAGCTTTATAAATAAAAGCTTAACTACTGAGGAGTAAGTTATTTTCTAAGGTAAGGCACTAAGTTAAAAACCACTTCTTAGTTACACCATTTCACTTTCTCCTTACCTGAATTTCCAGGAAGTATTAGCTGTTTGACTATAGGAGGTCGCACAGGGGTTGAGGATGGAGAATTGAAACCACTGCTGTATGGGCTACTTGCATTTGGACTGTAAGGACTTGTGTAACTCACAGAGTTGAAAGGATTATTATATAAATTTTGCCTCTTGAGAGCTGTTTTAATGAGAAAAGGAGAAAATCAAATTTAGTAACTGAGAAAAAGTTACCATTTTATTTCAAATATTTTGCTACTAGTAAATTCATTAAGTCATTATTCCATTTAAATACAGAAACAGTCTTGTAGTACTGGGGGAAAATACATATTAATAATCACAACAAGATATTTCCATTACCTTAAATTGTTATGGAAATAAAACAATGAAAATAATATGAGAAAAATATCTTAACAAATTATCAGCCACTAAAGTAGTTTATCTCTATCTTGTTGATAGCTCTACCAACACTGAATGGCCTGTAAAAATAAAATGAAAGTAAAAAGCATGTTTATATTTTCTTATTTTTTCTATAACAAACATATATTGCTGAAAAAAAAAAGTGGGGCCAAGCTTATTAAGTATTGACTATTTGGGCCAGGTTAAGATCAAAAGATGTGAGAGTTCTCTTTAAAAAAGGAAAAAAAGCCCTTTCCTGCTCTTTTCCAGCCCAAAAGGGGAAAAAATTGGTGATCTGCATATAAAATTACAGAAAGAGCCAAAAGTAGGGCTAGGATATTGAGTACAATTATATACAAGAAAAATTAATACTTAAAATAGAATTTCTTTCTTCCACCCCATTCTAAAATCCATACCTTATTTAATAAAATAAGTTACAATTGTTGGCAAAGCACTGTGTAGAGCATACAAATGTGACATGGTGCTTTTCTTAATGAGGCTTATAGCTAAGTAGTACAGGCAGAAAAAAAAATGATTTCAAGGCAAGTGAAATGCATACTATCATAAAGGTGCAAAGGGCTGTGAAAATGATGAGACAGGAGTAATTCATTACACTTGAGAGAAACTAGTTAAGGCTTTTTTTGGAAAGAGGCACTGGAGCAGTCTTGACAGGATGAGTAATAATTACAGTAATAAACTGAAAGTGGGAAAGTATATGCTTTCATCTGTGTTTATAACAACAAAAGCAGTGTCTTGAAAATTTATTATGTTCAGGGAGTAAGAGTGAGTAGTCTAGAAAAGTAAAGCACACAGTGAGGGACATAAGAGGAAAACCCAGCTAGGGCCAGGTCACTAAAGGCCTGCAATGTTATACTCAGAACGCTGAACTTTATTCAGTAGTTGTGATAATGCTATCAGTGACTTTAGAGCAAGAATGATATGATCCAATTGATTTATGAAAAAATGACAGAAATTTTGATGTAGAATAGATTAGACTGAACTAGGCAGTTTAAGTGACCAAAAATAAAACAAAATAAGGAAAAGAAGTACAGATATTAAAAACTGGAAAGGATTACTAAAGGAAAAAAAATAAGATGACTGAAGTTTCTGATATGCCTGACAGAGTAGTGTGGTTTAAAGAAAAGGAACATATGTTTTTGGTTTAGCTTTTCTGTTTAGTTGGACAGTGTAGTTTTATACCTACGCACCATGGAATAAGAAACCAGACACCACACTTCAAACATATTTAGCATGTTGTGTGCTGCATTTGGTCAGAAATATTAACTTGAACAGAAATGGGAGTACTAATTTCTTGTCTTTACACTCTGATCTTTGAAGCTTATTTTCTTTTACTTGACTATTTAATCACTAGCATTTTAGGTCCTCAGCCTTTCTATCTTCTCACTCTACAACCATATTTTTTTTTCCTGTGAAATATCATTCATACCCACATTAGTAATATTAATCTAGCTCCCCATTATTTGTATCTCCAGCCCTAAACTTTCCTGAGCTTCAGCCCCACATACACTGCCCATTTAATGTCTCCCCCTGAGGGCATGGCAAATATACCCCAGAGTCAACAAGTCCAAATTCAAATTCATGATTTTTCTGATAAAATCAAATTCTCTTCCTGGGGTCCCCATCTCTGAATAAAAATAGCCATTCTGTCACACAAGCTGCAAACTAGGAAATCACTGTTGTCACTTTCTTCTGTCTCCCACATTTACTTCATTCTCTTTTTCTTCCACATTTTTTCATTACCACCCTCCCCCGCAACACACACTGCCCAGCTCAACCCCCCTCAAAAGCATCTTACATTCACTTTTGGCCCTCCCTAATCTATTATTCATACTACAGCCAAGCACAACTTAATCTGATCATGTCTTTCCACCCACATATACCACACCCTTGAATAAAACCCTTTAATATCTTCCCACTCCTTTTATAATAAAATCCAAAATCTTTAACATGGTCTATGAGGTCTTGGAAGAGTCGGGCTCCTACATATCTTCCTGGCCTTATCTTACATCTCTCAGTTCCTTTATCTTCTCCAGCCACCCTGGCTTGTTCCTGTTCTCCATATATGCCATGCTCCTTCCCACATGACCCCGCAGGCCCCCTACAGTTCTTTTGAACCTGCTGTTCTGTCCACCTTCAACATCCTACCCCTTCTTTTGCCTTCTCCCTTATCCCACTTAAATTTTTCTGAATCTTTAAGACTCAGGTCAAATATCACTTCCTGAAATAAAATTCCTATATCTTAAAGCTCAAAGCACTGTATACCATTCTTTTATTACATATCACCAGTTATAAAAATTATCTGTATTAAAATCTTTCTCCTACTAGATGAGGAAAAACTCCATGAGTGCAGGTGCAATGCTAGTTTTTCCTCATCATGTATCTTTCACCCTTTCTCCAAGCCCTAATACATAGCAGGCTCTTAAATATTAATTGAATATATGCATGAATAAATGAGATTAATTTGAATAGAGATGTTACTGGACACTATATGAATGGATGAAATTATCAAAAGAGAGCGAGGTGAGACAAAAGAGAGGCCTGGGTTACCCTAACTTAAAAGATGGGCAGATGGGTACTGGGGAACTGGAAAATTTAATAGGTACAGATTTTTAATATGGGATGATGAGAATGTTTTGGAGATGGACAGTGGTGATGGTTCACAGCAATGTGAATGTACCTAATGCTAATGAACTATATATCTGAAATGGGTAGAATGGGAAATTTTATGTTATGTTAACTTCTACCATGATACAAAAAAGATGGGCAGAGAATTAAGACCCTTCAAAGAAGACTCCAAAACAAACAAACAAACAAAACAAACAGCAGGGAGAGTAAGACAGGGCAAAAACGATAATGCACTATCACAAAACATGAGAGAGGAACATCTTAGGAACAAGCAAGTGGTAGTGCACTGCAGAGAAGCTGGGTTCGCTGGAGCAGAAATTGTTCTACTAGAACACAATAGTTAAGTTCCCAGGAAGGTTTGTCTTATCAAAAAATACATTTAAAAACAATCTTCCTTCCAACTTGGGAAAAGTGGAGTTTAGGAATAGAAGGCTCAAATTTGCAATAACCAAATTCTTTTTTATTTAAATATATATTATATTTATAGCTGTAGCTATTGCTTTTATAGCATATAGCCATAAAATCTAAACATTGTTAAAAAGATCTAGTACTTGATTATACCTCATTTTGGTTCAACAGCAATAGCTGCTCTTATATACTCTTACTATCTTTAATACCCTTGTTACAATACAGCAAAAGCCACTCATTCAAATTGCTTTTTTTGAGGTGCAATAACTTGGGATTTTCTCCTGTAAGTCCAGGTTACTAATTTTCAATTGCTAATAGTTCCCATTTCTTAAGATGCTTTTAAACTAGGGGTTGGTAAACTGCAGGTGAATATGGCTTTCCTGGAACACAGCCTTGCCCATCCATTTATGCATTATCTATGGCTGCTTGTGTATAATAAGGGCAAAGCTGAGTAACTGCAACCAGGACCTCACAGCCCACAAAGCCTAAACTGTTTACTATTTGGCTCTTTACAGAAAAAGTCTGCCAATTCCTGTTTTATGTTTATCTATTTACTGTCTGCCTCTCCCACTAGGTTTATTTTATTCATTGCTATATCCTCAGAGTTGAGAACAATGCATAGCACATAAGTTATGAAAGTATACTGTTGAATGATGAAAATTCCTAACTATAAAATATGTTACACTATTTCTAAAGTGAAAGAGTATTGGAAAAATGTTCCTAAAAATATTCTTAATAAATGTCTGAATAATATCATCTAACAAATGAGTTAGAAATTTTCCAGTTATTTCAAATTGTCTTCTAGCTTGTCTACATATTTCTAATAATCTCTTACAAATATAATTTAAATCAAGCTCCAGGATATAATTATAAAAAGCACTTGATATTCAGACAAAAACATTTTTAAAAATTACATAAAAACTATTGCTTTTCCAAAAAGGATTCTCTTAATAGAGAAAAAGACTTCAGTATCAAAACAGACTCAGAAGCTCTGTAATCACATCCAATATATTATTTTCATACAATACATTACTCTTTACAGCCAACAAAATTACTGTATGCCAGTTTAATTGTTTAGTCTTGCCTCCCCTGACCATTTTCAGCTTATACTTAGCAAGAGGACACATATTTCAGTAATAAAACCAAAATAAACAATTTTAAGTACATGGCTGCTAAGTAAACACAAAGCAAAAAAACAAAAACAAAAATCTATTTAGATTAGTTAATCACACATAATCCTTTACTACATGAGTATTCCAGAAAACAGTAGCATTCCTAAGAGGCTGAGAGAAATTCTGAGTCGGTATTTTTTCTACATTCCTACTCACACTGGCATGCTACATTAAATGCCATAAATAAAAACAGACTCACTTTGTCAGCTTTTTGAGTTCTACTAAACAAAAGAGCCTAAAATTTAAACCTAAAATGTCAAGTTAAAAAAAAACAAGACAAAAACATAACAAAGAAGGGAAATGGATACATTTCATAAGCATCTACAATGAGCCCAAAAAACATGCTAGGCTCCTTCATGAGCATTATCATTTAATCCTTAAAATAACCTTACAAAGTTCATAATTCTTAAGAGAAAAACTGAGCTCACGTAAGTTCAATAAATGTGCAGAGTCACACAGAAATTAAGTGCTAGAGTGAGAATGAAGTCTCTCTGGTTCTCAACCTGTATCTTTCTATCACATGAGAATTACCCCAAGGGTGGTGAGATGATTTTAGATGATATGAAACATGTTTTAAATAGTTACTTGTTTTAACTTGTACTAGAAAAACAGTACCGCATAAAAATCCAATATTTCACAGATATTATTCTTTAGGATGAAGCTAATTAAAAATGAGGACAGTAGGGAAAAAAAAGCTGTGAAGTTAAATGCTAGAGCAGGGTTATGTGTATCTGGCAAAAACTCATGATGGTATGCAGAAAGAAATTCAAAAAAACACTGCCAAGCAAACAACTGTCTTCCTAAAAATGTACTGTTCAACAAGTATCCTTTTTTTGAATAAAGAAAGCAAAAAAGATGAATTTACAAGTAAAAATTACAGACATACCTGACATCGTTTGATCAAGTTTGTGGATAAGAGACTTTTTAGCACATTCCACATCAGGACTTGGGTAATCCAACACTTGCCTACACCAAACTAATGGACTAACCAATTTCTGCATTGGTGTAAGTTTTTTCTTTGGTGATGAGTACAGCCTAGAAGAAAACAAAAAACAAAAATGAAAGGGTGACACTCATTATTAAGTACAAGATTATAAGACATGGATCCATTTGAACAAAGCAGCAGTAGATTCATGAACACTGAGAAGAAACTAGTAGTTACCAAGGGGGAAGGACTAAGGAAGGTTGGTTGGGGAAGTAGAAGGGGATAAAGGGGCACAATAATTTGCAATCACAATATAGGTTGGTCATGGGGACGGTAGTACAGCATGGAGAATACAGTTAATGACTCTGTAACATCTAACTACATTGATAATGACCACACTAGAGGGGGTGAGGATTTAATAATATGGGTAACTGTTGAACCACTGTGTTCTATATTTGAAACCAACATAAGATTGTTTATCAACAACACTTTAATAAAAAAAAAGATATGGATCCTTTTGTATAGATTTAAATTGGGGGAGAGTGATAAGAGTGTATTCAAAATCTTCCACATTTATTTGTGTACAAGAAAATGACACTATAATCATCAATATGAACACAAATCTCAACTATTAAATGAACCCAAATGAGACCAACTGTCCAATCCTAATATGTCTTATTTTTCTCTTTCACTCATTATAAAAATTATGAGGAAATATCTGATTCTATAATAGTTTATTCTTTTTTCAATAGTACTTGAGTAATTCCCTAATATATCATTAAGTTTTGTCTAGGAGGCAGAATGAGGATATAAATACCTTGTTTTTACCTCCCAGTTCTCTTCCTACCACAAACCACGCAAAAATCTGCCTTTAGTGATTCACTCCCTTTAGTTAAGCATTATACACTCCACAGCCCTCTTCTCAAATGATGAAAACAATACTTTAAATCATAACAGAATCATTTATGAAATTACTTCAGTTTCAGGAAAGAAGAAAGGGATAGTATTTTATAAGATCCTACAGAAGATATACAAAAAGAGTAAGGTGATCAGAAGATGAAGGAAGGGTGCACTTTTATTAAATTTCCTACTTCATAGTTTTTCCTCAGATTAGTCCAGATTATGTCAATTGATATTAGTTTATTTCAAATATGACTGGTATGAAAAGTGGAAAGTTACTTGAATTCTAACCAGAGTGGCTTCCAAATTAAGACACTTCCAGTGTAATTTCTGCAGTGAACAAAATTATGCCTTGATATATCTACATAGTTAAATGTCTCAAGTCAAGGAGTTAATAGTTTCACATTTTACATTAATCATTAGGACAGTAAAGTACTTTCTGAAATATATCTTTGTGATAATGGAATGGACAAACTACTTTCTAGTGACAACACATACATTTTCTATCTCTTCTCTCAACTCCCCTGTCTATCACTTAGGGCTGTCACTCATATTATTTAGCTCTGCTCAAGAAATTCAAGACTAATAGGGCAAAAGTAATTTATCTAGTGCACAATTCATGTTCAGTTGGACAAAAATAATGAAGTAATCTCAATTACTTCATTACTCAATTACAAAAATACCTAATTAACAACTCAATGAAAATGAAACCAATGGAGTTCATTTTCTTTTCAACTCAAATATTACAAATGTGTCATAACAAAGCTCTACCTCAGCAACCCCTTCTTTAATTGTGAACTATCATGTACTGGTGTTCTATGTTAGCAAATATTTAATAAAACTATAGATGAATAAATAACATTAATAAAATCACTTTATGATACTATCACCACTCTTTCAAAATATAACTTTTCCCTACACTGGTTTCACACAACTTACCTGTATGACTCATGTATAATTAGTATATTCTTCTACTGGCTGTAAAACTCACTTCAAAAAGTGCAAAGAACTTGAGTGAGTCTAAAAGCATGCTCACTGAAAGAAGCCAGACACAAAACAACACATACTGTATTATTCTGTTTACATGAGATGTCTAGAGAAGGACATGGAGCAGAAGGTAGATTGTTGTTGCCTAAGGCTAGAGGTAGGAGTGAGTAAAAGGTTTCATTTTAGAGTGATATAAATGCACCAAAATTACATGGTGGTGATGGTTGTGGTAAGAGTGTCATTTTAGGACTGTAAATACACTAAATTCATCAAATTATTCAATGAAATAATAAAGGTAAGACTGGAAATAATGAAATATAGACTAAAAAAAATAAAGGAGTAATGAAACTAAGAGCTGGTTCTAAGTAAAGGTAAAAATCAATAAACCTTTAGCCAGATGCATCAAGAAAAAAAAAAGGACTCAACCAAGTAACATCAGAAATGAAATACCACTTACAACTCACACCAAAGGATTATAACAGTATTTAGAAAATTATATGTTCACAAACTGGATAGTCTAGCAGGAAAGGATAAATTCCCAGATACATACAGTCTTCCAAGAAAAAACCAGGAAGAAATACAAAAAACAAGAAAATTATAGACGAATATCCTTGATGAACAGAGATGCAAAAACCCTTGATAAAATATTAGCAAACCGAATTAAAAAATAAAATTAAAGGATCACTCAACCATAACCCAGTGAGATTTATTCCAGGGATGCAAGGATGGTTTGATATCCATAAATCATCAATGTGGTACACCATATTAACAAAAGAATAAAAACCATATGCTCAATAGATGCTGAAAAAGCATCTGACAAAATTCAACATCCATCATGATAAAAACTCTCATCAAAGTGACTACAGAGGGAACATACCTTGACATAATAAATGCCATATATGACAAGCCCACAGTTAACATCACAGTCAATAGTAAAAAGCAGAAAGCTTTTCCTCTAAGATCAGGAACAAGACAAGGATGCCCACCCATATTACCACTTTTATTCAACATAGTACTGGAGGTCCTAGCCATGGCAATCAGACAAGATAAAGAGATAAAAGGCATCCTAATTGGTAAGCAAGAAATTACTCTATATGCAGATGACATGATACTATATATAGAAAACCCTAAAGACTCCACCAAAAAACTATTAGAATAAATGAATTCAGCAAAGTTGCAAGATACAATATGAATATACAGAAATCTGTTGTATTTCTACATACTAATTACAAACTATTAGAAAGAGAAATTAAGAAAACAATACCACTTACAATTGCATCCAGAAAAATAAAATGCCCAAAGGTAAATTTAACCAAGGAGGTCAAAGACTTGTACTCCGAAAATTCTTAAGACACTGGTGAAAGAAATTGAAGAAGACATAAATAAATGGAAAGCTATTCCATGCTCATGGATAGGAACAATTAATATTGTCAAAATGGTCATCCTGCGCAAAGCAAGCTACAGATTCAATGCAATCCTATCAAAATACCTATGGCATTTTTCAATTAACTAGAGCTAATAATCCTAAAATTTATATGGAACCACAGACAAAACAAAAAAAAACCAAACAGCCCAAGCAATCTTGAGATAGAAAAGCAAAGCTGGGGGTATCACACTTCCTGGTTTCAAGCTATACTACAAAGCTACAGCAATCAAAACAGTATAGTACTAACAGATGCACAGACCAAAGGAACAGAATAGAGAGCCCAGAAATAAAGCCATGCCTATATGGTCAATTAATACAGATAAGGGAGGCAAGAATATACAATGGGGAATAGGCAGTCTCTTTACCAATGATGCTGGGGAAACTACATGCAAAAGAATGAAATAAGCACTGTCTTACACTGCACACAAAAATAAACTCAAAATTAATTAAGGACTTAAATATAAAACCTGAAACCATAAAATTCTTAGAAGAAAATCGGCAGTAAACTCTTGAACATCAGCGTTCTTAATTTTTTCCTGGATATATCTCCCTAGGTAAGAAAACAAATAAAAACTACAATGAATAGCCAAAATTTGGAAGCAACTTACATGTCCATCAACAGATGAATGGACAAAAAAGATGTAGTACATATATACAATGAAATATTACTCAGCCATAAAAAGAATGAAAGCTTGGAGAGGATTAAAAATGGCAGAATAGGAAGGCAAGATGGAAACCTCCTCCCAAAAACACATAAAAGGAAAATACAGCAAATGCAACTAGAACTGAAAGTAACCTGAACACTGTGGAACAGACTCCCTACACCTAAGGAAGAAGACAGGACCACACAGAAAAGGGTGAGGCAGCAAAGCCAAGATCGAGTGGAACCCAAACACTCCCCTCATCCCAGCTTACAGGCTGGAGAAAGAACAACAGAGCAGGGAGGGGGTAGGAGCCCAGGAGTGCTGCACATCTTGCCAGGGAGAACTGCCTTGGGAGCATAAGCCCACATTCAGTTTGAAGACTTGCCAGCAGTGGGAGCAGTACCAGAGGGGACAAGGGTTGGATGGAACTCTCTCCTCAGGAGAAAGGGCAGGTGGAGGATATCTCCTCAGCCCTTTCTCAGCCCAAGAGATGGGGAACTCTCAGGAGCCCCAGACACTCCATCCCCATTTCTGACAACGCAGCCCCACAGCTTCTCCCTGCACGTGCTGCTGACAGACAACCCACTTGGGTCAGCAGCAGCATCAGACTTTGCTGCCTGCCAGGCAGCGGGAGACTCTCCCAGTTTGCTTGGCTCCATTTCAGCCCAACTGGGGAGATGCCTGGAGGAGCAAGCCCCACAAGCTCCTTCCCTGCAGATGTTCAAACCTGGAGCTGTGCATCTGGCTGGGGCACATCGGTTTGACCACCCTATTAACCCTGCAGCCCTGCCATTGCTGCAGGCCAGGCAGAGGGTGGCCCGCCACACAGTGAGCTCAACAGAGACTTCTGAGCTGATCATACAGAAGCAGCTCAAGCAAATGCCCACTCAGATTTAGACCACTACAAAAGCCAAGCAGAAAGGTGCCCCACCCACAGCACGCCTACAGCTGGGGCCCTGCAAAATAGAACCAAACACTAGAGTAAAGACTCTTGAGCTTCTGGGTGCCAAAGCATGCCTTCTTCATAAAGTTATTACTCTTTATACCAGAAAGCATAGTATAAACATTTAATACAAAGGAGGAAACAGAATCCCTGACAAAATGAGCAGGAAGAGGAATTTGATCCAAATAAAACTACAAAATAGAACCTCAG